TTCTTTTACTTACTTTTATATTGCAGGACTTGACAAATTTCTTGAATTGTTTTGATTTCCTGGGCTTCTCTCTTTTGTCTTATTTACTGGGAGAGGCTCAGATCCACACATGAGGGGGGAAAACCTGAAAGCAGTCCACATTATTTTCCTCTCCCTGTCCAATCCTAAATTAATGGTGTGAATACTGAGTTTTGTTGAAAAGAGTGATTGTTGTAGTCTCCCCTGCCCAGCTCATTTGCATATTTTTATACGCACGGATTGATATTCAATGTCTGATTTTTAAAGGAATAGAAGATGACTTGTTTTTAGAATAGCTTTTCTGGGTCACATATCAAATATTTTCTTCCTTTTATGATTGTTCTACTTTAATGACTGAATTATTTTGCAACCTGTTTACTGGGCTGATGAAAGTTAGTACTTCTACAAATAGTGGTTAATGTCTTATTTTTAATCCTCTTGGAGGAATATCTCCATGCTATCTTCCCCATACTCACAAATATTAAAGGGTGATGGGAGTCTATCATGTACCTCTGGTTTTGGATCAATATTGGCTTAAGAGTTAGTTAGATTGTGGAGAAAAAAAGGATTAAATAGAGAAAAATAGATTTTGCTATAGATGATGCTAATATTAACCTGAGCATGGTTTTACACTAGTTTAGATTATGAAACAAACAACATACTATACATGATTTTCAATATTGAAGTGGTTAATAAAAATCACCAGCTCCTGCGCAATCACACCCTTGGCTACAACATTTATGACAACTATGATAACACCCTCGGCACTTCAGATGCCTTGCTGGACACACTTTCTACTGGAGAAGCCAATGTTCCCAACTACAGCTGTGGAAGGAAGGACAATCTTTTGGTGATTTTTGATGGAGCTGACAGAGACATCTCGGTCCAGATGTCAACATTAGTCAGCCCCTACAAAGTCGTCCAGGTTTGTGTTTGTGTTTTTCTATCAGGTAAAGTGAGTGGGGTGTTGGGGTGTGAGTGATAGCTCCAACCATTTCTTCTCTATAGAATTCAAAATCTGCTTTTCGTTATGACCTTTATGAAGATTTCATGGCTGGGGATTTAGGTAACAGTGGGGAGGGAGCAAGGATCAAAATGGAAACATCTACTCATGAGACCATCCTCATTGTTTTGAGGGCTTTTACCGCACACTTGTGAAGGTGAGGAGAGGCTCTGTGTTCAATCAAAGCTTCTAGAATAGAATAGAATAGAATAGAATAGAATAGAATAGAATAGAATAGAATAGAATAGAATAGAATAGAATAGAATAGAATAGAATAGAATAGAATAACAGAGTTGGAAGGGATCTTGGAGGTCTTCTAGTCCAACCCCCTGCCTAGGCAGGAAACCCTACACCACTTCAGACAAATGATTACCCAACATCTTCTTAAAAACTTTCAGTGTTGTAGCATTCACAACTTCTGGAGGCAAGTTGTTCCACTGATTAATTGTTCTAACTCTCAGGAAATTTCTCCTTAGTTCTAAGTTGCTTCTCTCCTTGATTAGTTTCTACCCATTGCTTCTTGTCCTACCCTGAGGTGTTTTGGAGAATAGCTTGACTCCCTCTTCTTTGTGGCAACCTCTGAGATATTGGAACATTGCTATCATGTCTCCCCTAGTCCTCCTTTACATTAGACTAAACATACCCAGTTTCTGCAACCGTTCTTCATATGTTTTAGCCTCCAGTCCCCTAATCACCTTAGTTGCTCTTCTCTGCACTCTTTCTAGCGTCTCCACATCTTTTTTACATTGAGGTGACCAAAACTGAATGCAGTATTCCAAGTGTGGCCTTCCAAGGCAATATAAAGTGGTATTAACACTTCATGTGATCTTGTTTCTCTCCTTCTGTTTATGCAGGCTAGAACTGTGTTGGCTTTTTTGGCAGCTGCTGCACACTGCTGGCTCATATTTAAATAATTGTCCGCTAGGACTCCAAGATCCCTCTCACAGTAACTACTATTGAGTGAGGTACCATATAGTGTACCCGTGCATTTTCTTTTTCTTGCCTAAATGTAGAACCTTACTTTTTTCACCGTTGAATTTCATTTTGTTAGATAGTGCCCAATGTTCAATATTAGCCAATATTAGCTAAATGATATTAGCCAAAGTAATGATAATCTCAAACATGAATTAACCATTTTATAAAAGAGTTACAAATATGTTAGCCAAATGTCAACTATTTTTTTACCCTAAAATGCTCATGTTCAAATTCATTGTTAAATTTGTTAAGAACAATTCTACCAGATTTACAAATCAATCAATATCCCAACTCTATAGGCAGGTTCATTTACACATATAAATAATAATTGCCATACCCATTTGGGTCAAAAATGGCAATTGTAGTTCATATATACTGTATAAAAAAGGGAATTAAAAGGACCCTAATTATTCATGGCCCATTCTCTAACAGTTATTCTGACTAAATTATATGCAAACTTCCACTTGAGTAGAGTTGAGGGTAGGTGGATGAAAAATGCATTCCTTGTAGAAGCACCAGAAGTCGTTAAGCAGATTTGATTTACTATTGGTAATTGCATTGCCTTGAACCATTAACTATAAAAACATATCAGTCAGAGGTAATAATGGTTTGCTGTCTTTATAGCATTTGACACAGTAAACCAAGAAATTTTATGGAGGAAACTGATTGCCCTTACAATGGAACTCAGAATGTTGACCCTTTTCAAAGCCCTTTCTACAAGCACTGACAGTGAGAAAAAATTATATATAATATGAAATATGAAATATAACAGCCGTGACCAGGAGGGCGTTTGCCCAGGTCCGCCTGGTGCACCAGTTGCACCCTTATTTGGACCAGGATGCCCTACGCACAGTTACTCATGCACTAGTCACCTCCCGTATTGACTATTGCAACTCTCTCTACCTAGGGCTGCCCTTGAGGACCGTCCGGAGGCTTCAGCTGGTAAGAATGCAGCCGCACAGGTCATGATGGGTGGTTCCCAATACGCCCATGTTACACCTCTCCTGCACGACTTGCATTGGTTGCCGGTTGCCCTCCGGGTGAGATTCAAGGTGCTGGTGATGTCCTATAAAGCCCTACATGGCTTAGGTCCAGGATATTTGTCGGACCATCTGCAACCAGCAACAGCTCCCCATCACCCGGTGCGTTCTCACAGGGAGGGCCTACTCAGGGTGCCGTCGGCTAGACAGTGTCAACTGGCGACCCCTAGAGGCAGAGCTTTCTCAGTGGGTGCTCCCATCCTCTGGAACCAACTTCCTCTGGGGCTCCAGTTGGCCCCTGACCTTCTCACCTTCCACCGCGACTTAAAGACATGGTTGTTCAGCCTGGACTGGGGGGGGTTAACATGTATTTTAACATACTTTTATTAGATATTTTATTGTTGTGAGCCGCCCTGAGTCCTGCGGAGATAGGGCGGCATATAAATAAAATAAAATAAAACAAACAAACAAACAAACAAACAAACAAACAAACAAACAAATCAATCAATCAATAAATCAATCAATTAAAAAAAATTAATCAGTGGAACAGCTTGCCTCATGAAGGTGTGCATGCTCCATTACTGGAGGTTTTCAAAAAGAGCTGGACATTCATTTTGTCTGGAATGGCATATGATCTGCTATGTGAGAAGAGGGCTGCACCAGAAGACTTTAAAGATCCCTTCTGTCCCAATTATTCCATATTCTACATTCATTTGTTTGAGAGTGTGTTTTAAGACAGAGTTCCCTAATGTTTTTAGCTTTGTACACCGGGGTGGGGTGGGGGAGCAGAGAAGATGGTTCCATCCAAAAGGCCGAGTGAGGATGCATCTATAAACATTTGCGCTTGCTGGCTGTTTCTGCATCCCGTTTGCAAATTTCTCACAGCGACACTAGTAGGTGTGGCCCATAGATTGGGGTACCCTGTTTTAGGATCAATGGAGCCATAAGAAGTAGGACTGATCCTTACCAAAAGGTAAGACAAGGGTACTGCCCATATGACATTTGGGTTTCATATACTGTTAAGAAGACTTGACTCCTAGTCTCATAAGAATTATCTGATTATTGATAAGCCAAAGTCAAAGGTTATGGTCTTTGGAAAATGATATCATTGCCATATAGGGCTATTCGATGATGAGCCAATAGAGCAAGTTCATACCTTTTCTTACCTGGGGTATTTTTCTCTGTAACTAGATCTTGGCTCCCTCAACATTAAAGGAGCTTATTTAGACCAAAGGCCAGGCCACTCATGCCCAACACCTGCCTCACCTCACATCAGTTCCGGCAGCCCCATCCATCATGACTCTGCAAGGCCTCCGGCCCACTTCTTCTTTGGGGGTAGGGCTTATATTAGGCACATATGTAAAAAAAAAACCATGGTAGGTCTTATTTTTGGGGAAACAGGATATGTGCATGAGAAAAAAGTTGGATTAATTAAAAGCTAAAAATTGGAAGTTGGTAGGACCCTAAATATAACCAGCATTTCATTGCTTTTACAGCTCAGTAATAGAATTGCTCCAGAGGCTCTGAATGATAAAAGTCAATTCCCCTTTTTCCATCCGATGCTCCCCAAAGGCGATTTCCAGTACCCAGGAATTGTTCAACTGCTCCTCCATTTTGGATGGATCCTGATTGGTCTCTTTGCTCCAGACACAGAGAAGGGGGAGAATTTCATGAGGACTTTTACTCCTATGCTTGTCAAGAATAGAATTTGTGTTGTTATATCACAACAATTCTCAATGACTGGACATACAGCACCCTTCCAGGATGCCTTCTCTAAGTGGAAAAAAGTCAGTCTTTGTTCACTTCATAGAAGGTGATTCCATTTGGGACAGAATTCTTCCTTTCCATTTAACATTTAAAGGTTTGCCAGATCCCATTGAATGGAAAGTCTGGATCACGACAACAATTGGAGTATATCCAATAACAAAGGACAGGCGTCTCAAATACATCCATAGTATTTGGAGCTTTCCTCCTCAGTGGAAAAAGAGTTGGCAAAAAGATAATGCATTTAAAGGTCATTTCTTTGCGGAGCCTGAGTTTCAAGATGAGTTTTTTCAATGTTCTGTTTCAAAAAATATCTTTTCTGTCAAAGGTCAGAGAAGATGCACCCAAAAAACACCACTGGATACCCAAAAGAAAAAGAACAGAATTCGGATCACAAATGGAGGCATTACTTATAGTGTCATTAAGATTCTGGCCCATGCCATAAACGCTGCAATGTCCAATGTCAAGAGGAGAAGAAAGGAGGGAGAAGAGAGATTGGGAACTCCAAGGCTGCAACCGTGGAAGGTATGGGCTCCCAACAAGGATCCATCAAACTAAATTCCTTTTCAGGGTCTTTGGGGCTCTCTGAGCTTGGTTGTTTAAGATCTTAAACTTCTGTACAACATCTGTTAAGTTATTGCAAGAAGAACTTGTATATTCAAAACATTGTTCCCAGATTCCTTCTGATTTTAAGCTCCCTGTAAACCAACATGGCTCTCCTCCTTGTTGTCTTTCCTCAAGGCTAAAAGCAGCTCCTTTGAGCTCTTCCTTGCCTTTTTTGTCCTTGCCTAAAGCTGATGAATATTTTGTGCAATGTCTTCTACAAATGTTTCCTATAAGAGAACCTGGTATGATTCCACTGGATCATTAATGACATTATTGTCAAAGTAATAACATGGTTATTATCATATCATTAAAATATTACTACTACTTTATTATAACCAGTAACCCATCTACATACAGAATAAGGTGAGAAAAACTACAAATGAAATCTTAAAGAAAGATAAAGATTGTGGCTGCCATTCATTTGTTGTTATCCAAGATACAATCATGTATCTAGTCCTAGATGCTAAAATTTAGCTTCCAACTGAACTTTACTTAAGCACCCCTCTCTATCACACTTTTATTTTGTGAAAGCTGGGAATTTTTTTTAAAGGAGTCAAAATAATTTTGTTCGAGCATTATTATAATTTTTGCATCCCAAAATCATAGTTTATCAGAGTTCCTAGCAAAAATCAAATGCAGAAGCACACACAGATTAGTGATTCAGCTGGATTCATTAACTTCTTTATATACGTAATAACAAATGAAATATTTACAATACTAATAGTTGATTCTTTTTCAACGTAGTAGCAGTTACAACCCAAGGCAGGAGAGAACAGTTAGTTTCATTTCAGCAGAGCAGACAAGCACACACAGATTGCTTAGTTTCAATTCTCTGCACAGATTCAGAAGCTGCAGACTAAGACATGCACTGGCTCCAGTCTGTCTCAGCTCCCAATTGTCTGACTTAGTTGCTATGCCTATTCATTGGCTGACCTTATTACTATGTCTCTGCCAGTTCATGAATAATCTGACATAGTTTATCTACTTCCTTAATTAATGAAAATATAGAAGAATCAATAACCAAGGTTCAATTGTTTTTCATAACTCACCAATTTTATCAATAAGATTAAAATTTATTTGAGTACAATTTGAAAGAGGAAGGATCAGATAAGACGGGGAGGGAAGGAATTAACCCGCAGCTGTGTAACAGTCAGAGAAAGAAATTCAGAGATAATTTTTTGTAACTGTCAAATGAGGTTATGAAAAATTTCTACTTTCACACTTGCAAGATTCTGATAATGTAGTCTTACAATAAAATGGAATTAGTTCATCTGATCATGTTTTATTCTCTGTTGTAAGCCGCCCAGGGTCTCTTGGGAGTGGGGCGGCATAGAAATGTGACAAAATAAATAAACAAATAAATAAATAATAAATCATTTTTTCCTGTCTGCTCTACCTGAATAAAGTTTGGCCTTGCAACTTTCTTCTTAACAAATCTTTGATAAGTAATCTTTGGTAATCTCCCTGTTGTTTTCAAGGAGTTTATGAATATTCTAGTTATTTTTGGGATTTTCTTCAACTGATATGTGACCTTTCCTAAAATATTCCTTATAACTGACAAATTTTGTCAATTACACCTTCCCACTATACTATTTGACAATATATTGTATGATTGACAACTATTACTGAACTTTTGTTCTTATGTTTTGAAGATAGTGCCAACACTTGTTCTCCCAACTCAGAATATTTACAAGTTAAAAAAAACATAGAAAAAAAATTCAAATGTAAAAAGAGGTAAGAGATAAGAAACCAACACTTCTGTTTTTAAAATTCCTGGATGTTTCCATTGTAGTTTCATCCATTCCTAAAGAAGAAGGAATTGTACAATCTTTCTCTGCTAAAAGTGTACTTGGATCAAAATGGAGATGTTGTAGCAGATCTGGACATCATTAGTAGGGTGGTTTTGCCCAAGGACGATCCCATCGACAAGGAATTGGGGAGTTTTGAAAGGCAGAGACTTAGAATCAGCCAAGATGCTTTGTCACAGCTAAAGTTGCTCAACAAGGTGGGGGAAATATTGATGTCTTTTCTCTTTCTTCCAAATAATTAGGACCCATTTCAAGTGGACTAAACCTAGTCAAGAAGGTGGGTAACCTTCACTGAGAATTGAATGTGTGGAGTAAAACATTATAATTTTCTCAGACAGATAGGGAGGCTTCAGTTCTATTGACCAAAATATCCTTCAGATGCTATAATGCTGAGTACTGCTATAAACTGATTCAGCTATATCCAAAATGAGATTTGGGGTGATAATTATTTAGGACACAAATCTTTGCCATTTAATATCCTTCCTGCAATTTAACACCATAAAACAGGTGAGAGAGGGCCTCATATGCTGAAGATTTTCATGTAAATAGCTTCTGGTACACTTGTTCCTTGTCTTCAATTATCAAAGATGAATCAATTCTGTTGAAATCAGGTTTCGGCTGAATCTGATGAAATGGAATCAAGATTGAATGGCGGTCCTGTTGGCTCAATTGGGAAATAAGCTTTATCATATCCTGGTTGGAGTCAGGATCTCCTAAAATTGCAGGTCCAGAGTCTGTGATGCTTTTAATCTGCTGAGACCATAGTTATACATGCCTCTCTTTAACCCCGCTGGGATAGTGGAATTGAGGAAGGAGGTCCAAGGCTTTCAGTTCCCATGAACTTATAATGACTGTTCTGATCTGTGAACTTATTTAGTCATTGATTCAGTACATTTATTTGCTGCTCATGATAATGGCTTGAAAACTGAAGTGCTGAAGCATGACTTTGGTGCAAAAATAAATAAATAAATAACAAAAAACTTTCCAGATCCCACTGTTCAGAATTTTCTTTCTTCATCACAGTTTTATTCTAATAATCTAATGGAATAAAAACTTAATAATTTTTTTATAGTAGAGTTTATTTTACAACTTAGTATGAGTGGATATCTTATGTTAAAATCATGCCTATATGAAGAATAGAGGAATGTGTTAATTCCACTGTGAGGTGGAAACCCCTGGTTGTTACTTGATGCTTAAATATTTTCACTATTTCATCCCTCCAGACTTTAGTAAATAAAAAGGTCCTGTCGAGCCTCGGTTGGGTCTCGCCATCACTAGGGAGGACGACGAGGAGGGGGCAAGCTGTTGGACTCTCCGGGGGCGTGTCATCAGCTGTTTGAGAAGTCTTTACCACCCGCACACAAAACGAAGCAAACTCTTTCATCGGAGATGGGGGGGGCATGGTGTTTGCAGATGACGCTGCCTTGTGCTGTAACAGAGGCGCGCTCCTCCTACAGGCCAGCTTGAGGAAGGAGGGATGATGTTGACTGTTTGATTGTTAATTGATTTATTGTGCTCCTCCTTCAGGCCAGCTAGGGGAAGGAGGGGTGATGTTAACTGTTTAATTGCCACTTGATTTATTGCTGTGTATATAAAAGGCGCTACACTGCGATTGCGTGTAGCGCTAACTTTAAACCTTGTTTCCGGCTTGTGCCTTTCTCCTGCCTGTGTTTGCTGTGCTGAACCTAATTAAAGGATTGCAACTGCTTTATTCCATTCTGGTGTTGGCTTGTTTCCAGTGCAGTTGGGTGGACTGGCCGAGAGAAAGTTAGCGCGCCCCCACTCACCAATTTCAACTGCCTACGTTCCCTAGCTGCAGTCCGGTGAGAAAGGCTGTCGGTGATGGCAGAAGGGACGGCGCTGGGTGATTCGGAGTTGGAGGTCCCTCTAGAGGCTGACGTGGAGGAGGTGGTTGTGGAAGAGGAGAAGCTACAAACTGCAACCCCTCATCAACCGGTAGTCAGATCCAAGCTGTGCCAGCCACGTGAGGAGGACTGTGTGGAGACGGCTGGTGCGCAGAGTCAAGGGCTAGACCCTTCGGGACAGATTTCCAGTGGGGGCTGGTGGCCTAGTTCTACTCATACCGGGCCCCAATGGCCATCTACCCCCCCATTGGGTCCATCATTTAGAGGTTGGTGGGAGAGACGTTGGACAGACGAGGAAGAGGCGGATTGGGGCTATGATAATACAGGGCCTGAATCCAGTGCTATGGATGCCATAAGAGATCGGTTTGGAGAAGGGAGTTTCCGGGACGCCCCGTCTTGGCAACCCTGGGCCGCTGGGGCGGAACTGTTACAAGGCAAGTCTTGGCAGGATGAGGGCCTTTCCCGGCCAGAGGCTCGGTTTCGCATCGCTAGCCCCAAATTCCGAAGGGAACAGGAAACAGGAAAAGGAAAGGGCCAATTCGAAGACCGGGACTACCATCTGCCTAAGAGGGAGGATAGCACCAGGGGCTCCGAACAGCCATCGACCAGAAGAGAGGTAGGAGCTGGAAGGTGGGCACAACGTCCTGTGGGGGAACGGAGGCCCGTTGGAGATCTGAGGAGAGATGGGGAGAACAGACCGCCTGTACCACCCCCAGCATGGATCCCGGTTCCTGGGATGTGGGCACCACCTCCAATCTGGGGCCCTCCTGCACTGCAAACCACCTTTGACGGGAGCCCAGACCGTGTGGCGTTGTTCTTAAGCCAGGTGGTTAGTCATCTAGACCAGTATGGTCGCTGGTATCCATCACAATGGGCCATGGTGGTAGCCATTACAGCTGTGTTAACCGGTGATGCAGCAGACTGGGTGGCGGGATTACATCGCAACCATGCTAGAGAACTAGTGGACGTGGGTAGGTTCTTGGAAGCTCTCCGGTCTGCTTTTGAGGATGACTCCAGTGTACAAATTGCGGAAGGAGATCTTGTAGCCCTCAAACAGCGGGGTGTTCCTGCAAAGGACTATGTACATGATTTCCGGAAAATTGCTAGTCGCTTAAGGGACTGGCCCGAACGGATGCTAGTCCAGCAATTTCGGATGGGGCTGGATCGTGAGTTACGTCAAGCCTGTGCGTACCGAGGCCTGGCTCCGCGCCTGGCTGTTTGGTTTAAAGCCGCTATTGAACTGGACATTACACTCCGGGAGTTTAGGCCTCGGTCAGAAGTTAATGTGGGACAGAGACGGGTTCCCATGGAGAGGGCCTCAGAAAAGCTGCCAACCACGCGGATTCAAGTACCTCCGCCCAGCAGCGTCCTACCTGAAAGGTCTCAGCGACCGGCGTTTCGTTGTTTTCGCTGCAATCAGATAGGACACAGAGCGGCTGAATGTCCTGTACCTCCAGTACGAGTACAAACCCGAAAGCCGGCTACGGGGGTAGTGACCAGAGGCCGACCACGGCAGCCACAAGAACGTACCCAAGCACTTCAAGGACCAAAGTCCGTCGTAGATCATCAGGTTCGTGATATTACACCAACCACTGTGGCGGGGAGATTCCCGGTGGTGTCAGGGGACAGTGATGACAACGAGCCGGAGGACCCTATGGTGAGCAAAACTGTGTTCCCTTTTGTCATACCTGTGGTGCTGAGGAATCCCCGAAACACAACGGGTTTTCAGTATGGTGCTTTAATAGACACTGGATGTACCCGTTGTCTGGTGCGGAGAAGTGTGGTGGATGCTCTGGGCCTACAGATAAAAAAGCTAAAAGTTCCTGTGAAGTTCGAACAGATGGACGGGTCATTATTGGGGGGGGGGCGCCTGCTAACCACGTAACTGAACAAGTGTTGTTGGTGATAGGTGAACATCAAGAGTCCATCCAGTTTATTGTGGTTGAAAAAATGATAGAGCCAGTTATTCTGGGTCTCACATGGTTAGATAAATGGCAACCTCACATCTGGTGGGAGGGAGGTTATCGTAAGCTTAGAATCCCTTTGGGACCTGCTGTCCCGTCCCCTGCTTCTTCAGTGGGACAGTCGAATGAGGGACAGGACAATAGCTGTGCCTCCACAGAGGTGTTGCTTACACCGGACTTTCCTATTGTTTACCAAGACCTTTCAGCCGTGTTTAGTGAAGAGGAATGCGAAGTACTACCCCCCCATCGGACTACGGATTGCGCTATCGAGTTGGTGCCTGGGGCTAAGTTACCGAAACCTCGGATGTATTCCATGACCCAACAAGAATTATCCAAGTTACGACAATATATCGACAAAAATTTAGCTCGAGGTTTCATCGTCCCTAGTAGATCTAGGATGGCTGCCCCAGTCTTCTTCAGGGAGAAGAAGGACGGTGGGGTTCGGTTATGTGTTGACTTCCGAAGTTTAAATGGAGTATGTATAGAACATCTATACCCCCTTCCGCTTATGAAGGATTTGTTAGCTGCGCTATCTACAGGACGGGTATTTACAAAACTCGATTTACGGGAAGCGTACTACCAAGTACGTATCAAACAGGGCGATGAATGGAAGACCACTTTTAACTGCCCTCTTGGTAGCTACCAATATAGAGTTATGCCGTTTGGACTTCAAGGCGCTCCAGTGGTGTTCATGCAGCTTATCAACGAAGTTTTGCATGAACATTTGTATAGAGGAGTTCTTGTTTATTTAGACGACATTCTAAAATATACGCGCACCTTGGAAGAACACGTTGTGTTAGTCCGTCAGGTTTTAGAGAAGTTGTTAGCGGCTAAACTGTTTATAAAGCTTTCGAAATGTGAGTTCCATAAATCGAAGATAGATTACCTCGGGTACAGGATCTCAAGCGATGGGATAGAAATGGATCCACGTAAAGTCCAAGCTATAGTTGAGTGGCAAGCACCGAAAACCAGGAAACAACTCCAAAGTTTCCTTGGTTTCGCGAATTTCTATCGCCAATTCGTCCCTGCATTTGCCGCTATAGCACTACCGTTAACAGACCTGTTACGCACTAAATCTCCTGTGATAAAACCAAGACCAAACCAGTTATTGCAGTGGACAGCTCAATGTCAAAGTGCGTTTGAACAGTTGAAATATCTTTTTACCAGAGAACCGGTACTTAAACACCCTGATCTGTCTCGTGAATTCATCATTCAAGCCGATGCTAGTGACGTTGCTGTGGGAGCTGTGTTGCTGCAAAAAGATGAACAGGATAGGATACGCCTTTGTGCTTATACCTCACGTAAATTAAACACCACAGAGCGAGGGTGGGCGATCTGGGAAAAGGAGGCCTTCACTGTCCGTTGGGCTCTACTTACGTGGCGTCACATCCTGGAAGGGGCTACTATCCCATTTGAGGTATGGACGGACCATAAAAATTTAGAGGCATTACAAACGCCTAGACGTCTGTCCCCAAAACAACTACGCTGGGCACAATATTTTCGAAGATTCAATTTCAGACTCAAATATGTGCCAGCAGGAAAGAACTTCCTCGCCGATGCACTTTCTCGTATGCCACAATATAACAGTAAGCGCGAGGAAGTAGTGGAATCTCTTATACCACCTATTGAGAGTGGGCATGCAGTTGCGGCGGTGTTACGGAAAGAAGCGTCCTTCTTAACGAATCTTCGGATAGCTATCAGCCAGGATACGTGGGTAAATCAAAACCAAACATCAGTAATCTTACGAGATGGATTAGGGTGGAATGGGGATCGTTTATACATTCCAGAACCGCTTCGAACTACAGTTTTAAGACGGTGCCATGATGCCAAACCAGCAGGTCATTACGGTTTCCTTAAAACACTTCACCTGATTAGACGTCAATTTTGGTGGCCACAAATGCGTGGTGAAATTGAACGTTATGTTAAATCGTGCCCCACATGCGCGGCAGCAAAACCATGGTCAGGAAAACCACTTGGTCGATTACAATCGGTGGCTGATCCTAGTCGTCCGTGGGAGGAAGTGGCGATGGATTTTATAGTAGACCTACCGCCCAGCAATGGACATACCGTTATTTGGACAGTAGTAGACCTATTTTCAAAGCAGGCGCATTTTATACCCTGTCGGGGTTTACCATCTGCCCGACGATTGACAGACATGTTTATACAACATATCTACTGCCTTCACGGGGTCCCGAAGCGTATTATATCAGATCGAGGTGTCCAGTTCACCGCCCAGTTTTGGAGATCTTTCATTCACAGGATAGGGTCCACTCAAGGATTAAGTTCAGCCTTCCATCCCAGTACAAATGGAGAAGCTGAACGGGCTAATGCCGCTGTGGAACGATATCTACGTTGCTACGTTTCGTATCAGCAAACTGATTGGTCTGCCTTACTCCCGTTCGCTGAAGTCGCGTACAACAATATCAGCCACCGTAGCACGGGATTTTCTCCTTTCCAAATCATCTATGGAAGAGAATTCCCTGCCATACCTGAGGTAGAATCTCCAGCTACAGGGGTATCTACACATTCCGGTTGGGCCGACAAGATCCGACAAACGTGGCCAGCGGTAAAAACGGCGCTTCAAAAAGCAGCAAATGAATACAAACTTTATGTTGATAAAAAAAGAGCCGACCCAAAACCGTTTTCTGTAGGGGATCACGTGTATCTATCGACAAAATACTTGAAATTACGATTACCTAGTAGGAAACTAGGTCCCAAATACATAGGTCCTTTTCCTATAATACGTGTGATCAACCCTGTCACTGTCATGCTTAAGCTACCTTCACTGTTAGGAAAAATACATCCTGTTTTTCATAGCAGCCTCCTTAAACCTGTCAAAGAGGAAAGGCCCACACATCAGCCTGTTTCCCCGGGACCGAGTCATTCAGATCAATATGAGATAGATAAAGTATTGGATTCACGTCTACGTAGAGGCAGGTTACAGTACTTAGTACGGTGGAAGGGTTATCCACTAGCACAAGCATCTTGGGTAGCAGCTCCAGACGTTCATGCCGACCGGTTGCTCCGTCGGTATCATCGTAAATATCCAAATAAACCAGGTCCCAGTGGGTAGAACGGTTGCTATGCTAACATCTTTATTTTATTTCCTGCAGGTGGACTCCTGGTAGAGAGGAGCCGCCTGTCGAGCCTCGGTTGGGTCTCGCCATCACTAGGGAGGACGACGAGGAGGGGGCAAGCTGTTGGACTCTCCGGGGGCGTGTCATCAGCTGTTTGAGAAGTCTTTACCACCCGCACACAAAACGAAGCAAACTCTTCATCGGAGATGGGGGGGGCATGGTGTTTGCAGATGACGCTGCCTTGTGCTGTAACAGAGGCGCGCTCCTCCTACAGGCCAGCTTGAGGAAGGAGGGATGATGTTGACTGTTTGATTGTTAATTGATTTATTGTGCTCCTCCTTCAGGCCAGCTAGGGGAAGGAGGGGTGATGTTAACTGTTTAATTGCCACTTGATTTATTGCTGTGTATATAAAAGGCGCTACACTGCGATTGCGTGTAGCGCTAACTTTAAACCTTGTTTCCGGCTTGTGCCTTTCTCCTGCCTGTGTTTGCTGTGCTGAACCTAATTAAAGGATTGCAACTGCTTTATTCCGTTCTGGTGTTGGCTTGTTTGCAGTGCAGTTGGGTGGACTGGCCGAGAGGTACTTTTGTTTGCAATCCGATATGCCCCAAGAAAAAAGGAGGAACTAAATGAAGCATCTGCTTGCAATTGTATCTCATGTAACTATTTGGAAGTATTCAGAGATTTCATATTTGCCTATGTGAAGCCCAGAGACTACTTGGCTAATATCTCCATCTTACATGGATGATGAGTCTCAATATATTTTCTCTCACATTTCTACTTTTTCTTCTCAGTCTCTGCCTCAGTCCAAATGTGTGGAAAAATGTCAACCTGGATTTGTGAAGAAGGCTCGAGAAGGAGAGCCATTTTGCTGCTACGACTGCATTCCTTGTCCAGAAGGGACCATCTCCACTCAGGAAGGTGGGTGACACCATAAGGAAACCTACTGGGTTCATCCAGACCACTTGTATCAATATACATCTTAGAGACATATATAAATTTGATGGTTTTGTTCTTATTTTCATTGTATCCAATTTCTTCCATAATGGGAGGGATAAGAAAAAGATTTATTTATTTATTTATTAAATTTATATCCCGCCCTTCTCCCCGAAGGGACTCAGGGCAATGAACAGCTGAGAATTAAAATAACATACAATATAAAAGTTAAAATAATTAAAAATAAATTAAATTAAATGGCTGCCCCAATTTAAACCTCCTAGCAATACAATTTATTTATTTTTATTTATTTATTTTAAATTTATATACCGCCCTTCTCCCTGAGAACTCAGGGCGGTGTACAGCCAGAATTAAAAAACATAAAATACAAATATTAAAAAACAATTAAAATATATATAAATTTGGCCCAAAATTAAAAATACAAACCAATTAAAACATTTAAAATTTCTTCTTAAGCCAGCCCGGCTTGCTGGAAAAAGTGGGTTTTAAGGGCACGGCGGAAGGCACTAAGGTCTTGGATTCTCCTTATCTCTGGGGGCAACTGATTCCAGCGGGTAGGTGCCCCCACAGAGAAGGTCCTCCCCCTGGGGGTCACCAGCCTACATTGATTGGCTGATGGCACCCTGAGGAGGCCCTCTCTGTGGGAGCGCATGGGATGATGGGAGGTCGTCGGTAGCAGCAGGCGGTCTCGAAGATAGCTAGGCCCGATGCCATGGAGCGATTTAAAGGTGATAACTAGCACCTTGAAGCGCACCCGGAAGACCACTGGGAGCCAGTGCAGCTCGTGCAGGAGCGGTGTTACATGGGAGCGCCATGCTGCTCCCGTCACTACCCGCGCTGCTGCATTCTGGACCAGTTGGAGCCTCCGGGTGCTCTTCAAGGAGAGCCCCATGTAGAGAGCGTTGCAGTAGTCAAGGCAAGAGGTGACGAGGGCATGAGTGACTGTGCACAGTGAATCCCGATCAAGAAAGAGCCACAACTGGCGAATCAGGTGAACTTGACAAAAGGTCCCCCTGGTTACAGCCGTCAGATGTTCCTCCAAGGACAGCTGAATATGCAGGAGGACTCCCAGATTGTGAGCCCTTTCTGTGGGGGCCAAAGACTCGCCCCCAATAGTCAGTGATGGAGTCAACTGACTATATCGGGATGCCAGGAGCCACAGTCACTCAGTCTTGGAAGGGTTGAGCTTGAGCCTGTTCCTCCCCATCCAGATCTGCACAGCCTCCAGGCACTGGGACATCACTTCAAGGGCATCATTGGGGTGGCCTGGGGTGGAGATGTACAGCTGGGTGTCATCAGCGTACTGGTGGTATCTCACCCCGAAGCCACGGATAATCTCGCCCAGCGGCTTTACATAAATTATGAACAGAAGGGGCGAGAGGACCGATCCCTGCAGCACTCCACAGATGAGAGGCCTCGAGGTCGACCTCTGCCCCCCTGCCAACACAAACTGCGACTGGTCGGAGAGAAAGGAGGAGAACCACTGCAACACGGTGCCTCCCACCACCAACTCTTCCAGCCAGTGCAGCATGATACCATGGTCGATGGTATCAAAAGCCACTGAGAGATCTAACAGGACCAGAACAGAGGAGCAACCCCTGTCCCGAGCCCTCCAGCCCTGTCCTCGGCTGAGTCATGTGCTAGAACCTCAGGAAATGGCCCAAGCTCCATCTGGAACCTCTCAGGATCCATCAGGTGCCTGGGGCGGATCCATCTAATTGGATCCGCCTCCCTGCGGTGGGGGGCAGTGGTTCGAAGATCTAGGAGAAGGAGTGAGTGGTCTGTCCATGACAAGGGTTCCATGTCTATATCCCCAATAACAAGACCACTCAACCACTGGCCAGAGACAAAAATCAGGTCCAGAGTGTGACCTCCCCTGTGAGTAGGGCCATGAACTTACTGGGTCAGGTCCATGGCCGTCATGGAAGCCATGAACTCCCGAGCCACCTCAGACATTTCACCAACGGATGGCAAGTTGAAATCACCCATGACTAAAAGCCTGGGTGTATCTACTGCCACCGTGGCTATCACGTCGAGTAGCTCAGGTAGGGCTGTTGCCACGCGGCAGGGAGCCAGGTACTGATCTGTCCCCGTCCACACACAAACACACAAACACAGCCAGCCGAGGGTTAAGGAAACACTTTGGAACACACCCAGTTTCTTTATCTCCAACTTGGCAGTGATAGACACACCGTCTGCCAAGTGCCTTTATTTTCACAGAAAAACAGAAAGATAAATACTCAGCTTCCAAATGTCCAACAACAACAAATATTTCTCTCAGCAGTTCCGAACGAGGCTTTAGTGACTATCCAAGGTTAGTTTTGTTCGTCACAAGGATCACTGACCACCACCCTCTATTATATAGTCTCTGGGGTGTGGTCCAGTGACTCAGTTCTAATCCCTAGCACGCCTCCTGAGCTGCTGCAATCGTTTATCACACCTTCGGAGGCGTGCGTCCAGGAATGATGTTTCTCCATCACTCTGATCCGAGCCACCTGTCTCCCTGCTAATCTCCTCTCCCTCGGCCGGCACCTGAGACAATGCCAGAGGGGAGGGGCCTGGAGAGGGAGGCCTGGCTGACTCCTCTTCCTCATGCTCGGAGCTTTCTTCCTCCAATGGGACAGGCTCAGAGGGCGGGGCCACAACAGGTACGTAAGCAACAAGCCCATCTGAACCCCATGACCCTACCTCACAAGGAGGGACTCACATCCGGCTATCTGAGGCACAGTGGTCTCCCTCGGACCCAGATCCTCGTTAATAATAACCGCCACCCCCCCTCCCCTCCCCTGGGCCCTCGGCTGATGGAATGCTCTGAAGCCTGGTGGGCACATTTCGACCAGAGGGACGCCGCCCTTCGGGCCCAACCAGGTCTCCGTAATACCCGCCAGGTCCGCTCCTCCCTCTTGAATAAGATCGTGAATGAGGGGGGCCTTATTTACCACGGACCTGGCGTTGCACAGCATCAGCCGAAGGCCCAGATCCTGAGTATCTAAGCCACCTAGTGTCCGAGCGGAGCCTTGGGGACCGGGACAAGCAATTGCTCTCAGATAGCAAGTGCGAGCCCCCGACACATGATATGGTCCCCTGCTCCCGCCATATCTGCCCCTCCCATTCACCGTGCTGATGGAAAATTCCTCCTCCGGATAGTCCTCCAGCCCCTCCCCAATCCCTCGACCTGCACCCTCCAAACCGTCCCCCTGTGCCGGGCTCGGCTCTGACCTTAGTGGGTTTGTCCCCCCAAACCCCTTGGTCTTCCTCCCGGTTCCCCTTAAAAAATCATTATTCCCACCCCTTAAAAATTTCATTAAAAATTTATGTAGAAAACACCTCAACCCCCTCTTCGCTGCATGCCATCTCTCGGGGTTCCAAGACCCATCATCAAGATAGGCCCTCGATAACATGGATGGCCAGGCCTGCGAGAGGGGGGAGTCTCGCAGTGCGAAGAGATCAGCGGATGAATACATCTTAAGGTTCCAAAAGTCTGTCTGGGGAAGATGGAAAGAGGCCAAGGATTCTTAATGATGGTTTAAAAAAAGTCCAGGGGAAAAACCCCTAAAACCTATTCAGGCCAGTGCGGCTTGCTGAAATAAAAATGTCTTCAGGGCCTTACGGAAAGTGCAGAGATCCGGAATCAGCCGTATTCTGGGAGATAGCTCATTCCAGAGGGCGGGTGCTCCCACAGAGAAGGCTCTCCCCCTGGGGGCCACCAGCCGACATTGCTTGACCGACGGCACCCTGAGGAGGCCCTCTCTGTGAGAGCGTATTGGCCGGTGGGAGGTTATCAGTAGCAGCAGGCGGTCTCGTAAATACCCTGGCCCTAAGCCATGGAGCACTTTAAAGGTGAGAACCAACACCTTGAAGCGCACCCGGAGGACCACTGGGAGGCAGTGCAGCTCACGCAGGCGAGAAGTGACGAGAGCATGAGTGACTGTGCATAAGGAATCCCGTCTCAGAAAGGGGCGCAACTGGCGTATCAGGTGAACCTGATAAAAAGCCCCCTGGCCACGGCCGTCATATGCTCTTCTAAAGACAGCCGTGTGTCCAGGAGGACGCCCAAGTTGCGAGCCCCCTCTGTGAGGGTCAATGACTCGCCCCCAATAGCCAGCGATGGCGCCAGCTGGCTATATCGGGATGCCGGCATCCACAGCCACTCGGTCTTGGAAGGGTTGAGTCGAAGCCTGTTCCTCCCCATCCATTTGATGGATGAGGTAGGAAGAAGGATGTTGTGGATTCGGGAGACGGTATAAAAATTTAATAAATAAATAAATAAATAAATTATTGGGATAAACATACTGTATTTTTCGCACTATAAGACACACTTCCTCCCCCCAAAAAAAGTGGGTGGAAGTCTCTGTGCAGGTTTGAGTGAATATTGTGGTGGGGGGGAGGTGGCTGATGCTGGAGCCTTCTCCGCCAAGCAGCTGATTGGCGGTTGGCTCGGCATCCCGGAATACCACCTATCTAGATTCTAGGTGGTGGGGATCACCACCATCACCACTGCCTATCACCGTCCATTTCCCACTGCCCGTTCGCTGCTGCCCGTTTGTCGCCATCCATTTGCCACAGCTCGATCGCCACTGCCCGTTCACTGCCGCTCATTCGCTGATGGCTGTCGACAAACAGGCTGCGGTGATTGGCAGCGAACGGGCCACAGAAAATGGGCAGTGGCGAATGGGTGGCGGCGATTGGCGGCAGCGAATGGGCAGAGGTGAATGGGCAGCAATAAGTGGCGGTGGCAATCCACACTGCCTAGAATAGCTGATTGGCGGTATTCCAGGAGGCCGATCCAACCACCAATCAGCTACTCGGCAGCGAAGGCTCCAGTGTTCCCTGGCAGCAGCAGCAGCTCAGCACAGTTGACCGGTGGTAGGTGAAACAGAGGAGAGCCCCGACGAGCCACGTGCTGAGCCTGCGATAACATGCTGAAGCTGACCAAGCTGTTGGCTGTTTGCTGCAAGGAAGCTAGCCAGATGAATACCAGATGGATGCTGGGAGGCAGAGGCAGAGATTTTTTCTTGTTTTCCTCCTCTAAAGCTATGACAAAAAAAAAAAAGAATAAATGAATGAATGAATGAATGAATGAATGAATGAATGAATAAATGAATACTATAGCATACTTTATTGCGGTCATAGACCAAAAAGACCAAAACATCCAAGACACATAGCTGGCACATGACCAGACTAAAGAGCAAAACGGCAGCAAGAAGAGTGGTGGAAACCACTCCGTCAAACTCACAGTAAAATTGTACATAGGGAGAAAATATATATTGCAATTTGAATAAATTATTAAATGAATGAATGAATGAATGAATGAATGAATGAATGAATGAATGAATAAATAAATAAATAAATGAATGAATAAATAAATAAATACAACCCCCCCCAAAAAAAAGTCCTCAAAGGGCAGATTTGATGGAGCACTCTTTCTTTTTTGCAGTCATTTTTCTGTTCCTGTGTTTCTACTCTACACTCATGTTGCTCTTTAAAACCCATCTGGAATTTATAGATGGTCCAGAATCCAATGGCATGAACAGTGTTTCCATATGTTCTTCCATGGTACACCCCTGTTGTGCAAGCTGCACAGGCTCCCCGTTTCTTTTCAAAGGCAATTAAATTCACCTTCAAAACCCTCCATGAGACAGAACCAGGGTATCTGCAGAGCTTCCTCTCCTTGAGGGTATCTGTTTGTCCCACCAGACCAGATATAATTGGCGTGCAAAAGATCTGTTCCCTAAAACATTCAATTGGCCCCCAACAAAACCTCTGGATACTTGCTACATCTCCCAGGCATTTGGGCTGTGGTAAGCTCAGTGCAAGATAGGAATCTGATGGATTTTCTCAGAGAAGGGAGGTTGTGGCACCAGATATTTCTTCCTTTAATTTTATTCTGTTGTTCTTGTTTCTATAGTTTCATCTTATTTCATTTTTGTTGTTTTTTTTATAGGTTGTATGTATTTTTTTTGTTTTTGCTAGAGTGTAAGAATATATCCATTAGTGAGACTTTCCTGTCCCTCAATATCCTATCTCATCCAAAGGTTTTCTTGAAATTTGGAAGACAATAAAAGAAATATTACTTTGTTTTTTCAGATACTGAAAAATGCACCAAGTGCCCAGATGATCAATATCCAGCCAAGAACAGAGTCCAATGTATCCCCAAAAGAATAACCTTCCTGTCATATGAAGAACATCTGGGAATCATCCTTGTGTCATTTGCCCTACTCTTGTTCCTAATCACAGGCCTTGTTTTAATCATATTCCTTAAATACCTAGAAACTCCCATTGTCAAAGCCAACAACCGGGACCTCTCCTTCATCCTCCTGGTCTCTCTCCTGCTTTGCTTTTTGTCCTCCTTTTTCTTCATTGGCCAACCAAGGAAAGGCACCTGTCTTCTCCGACAAACAATGTTCAGCATTGTCTTCTCAATAGCTGTGTCTTCTGTGTTGGCCAAAACTATCACAGTGATGCTGGCCTTCCTGGCTTCAAAACCAGGCAACAGGATGAGAAGATGGTTGGGGAAGAGCTTGGCCAACTCCATTATCCTTTCTTATTCTGCTGGCCAAATTTTCATCTGTGCCATGTGGCTGGGAGTTTCTCCCCCATTCCCGGACTCTGACATGCACTCCCAGCCTGGAGAGATCATCCTGCAATGCAACGAAGGCTCTGTCATCATGTTTTATGTTGTCCTGAGCTACATGGGTTTCCTAGCTATCATATGCTTCACAGTAGCTTTCTTGGTCAGAAACCTGCCTGGGGCCTTCAATGAAGCCAAGCTGATCACTTTCAGCATGCTGGTCTTTTGCAGTGTCTGGATCTCCTTCCTGCCCACCTACCTGAGTGCCAAAGGCAAATACATGGTGGCCGTGCAGGTCTTCTCCATCTTGGCCTCCGGTGCTGGGCTGTTGGGTTGCATCTTCTTCCCCAAGTGCTACATTATTATCCTTAGACCAGATCTAAATACTAAGGAACATTTAATGATAAAAGTAGGGACCTGATAATGAAATTATTTCTTACTCTCACAGCTCATCATTGGTTATTGATTTCCATTGTTGTTGGTTTGTATGCTTCGTTTGCCTCTTTTTGACAATATAGGTTATTTAAAATCCAAGGAAATAAAAACAGTTACGTTAATCAAATTGAAATCCAAGGTAATAATCAAACAATAAAATAAATTAATAAATAATAATTTATTTATTTATTTATTTATTTATTTATTTATTTATTTATTTATTTATTTATTTTATTAATCATATTTCTGTACCGCCCACTCTCCGAGGACTCTGGGTGGCCTACACCAAAGACAGTATACTAAATAGCATATTGCCCCCAACAATCTGAGTCCTCATTTTACCCACCTTGGAAGGATGGAAGGCTGAGTCAACCTTGAGCTGCTGAGATTTGATCTGCTGATCTGCTGAACTAGCAAGTCATCTGAAGTAGCTGCAGTACAGCACTCTAACCACTGCGCCACCTCAGCTCTTATTTGTACAAAATACAAATACAATGCAAAAAAATATTTGTATTTTCCCTTCATGGTACTTTCTGAACTGGTATTTCAGTTCAATACAGGTCTGATTCTATTGGGAGCAAGCGGGGCCTGGCCACGGGGATTACTGGGATGCCCCTCCTCTACTCCTGTGCCTCTGATGCCTGCAGCGGAAAAAGCCATGCAGGAAAACTCCCTGGGAGTTCCGGGACTCCCTGCCACTGCCGCCGCTTTGCCCCCCACCCCACCCCAGCTGACGATCTCACCTCGGACCCTCAGAGCCATTTAAAAGAAAAAAACTAATTTGTGATTTAATTATTGTATCCCTGGACTTTTTCTTACTTATGCAGCATACCAATTTTGAGTGCATGGCTTGACAAATGTTTGCAAAAAATAGGTAGGGGAAAAAGCAATAATCTTTAGGAAATGTTAAATAGTCTAAATTGTCAAATAAAAATATCAACAAATACCTCCCAATATTCTTCACAGCAGTTATAAGTACAATTATATGTTAACCTCTCTTTTCCCGAGGTTACATTGTGACTCTTTTTATCGATACTTTCCTCCATATGAAAACCATAAATCACAACTTTATTTTTTTTAAAAAAATCCATAATGGGTTTCCAGTCACCAGTACATGTAGATGTTGCCCATTCTCTGTTCAAAGTAGGCAGTTTGTTCATCTCAGAAAGTTCTGTCAATTTCACAAGCCATTCCTCCCCGGTGGGTAGTTCTATCGTGGCAATTTCCACCACAATAATCACATATTAAAACAATATTCCTTGGCATTTTCCTAACTGATCATCCATCAATCCTCAAAGAAAGGATTGAATGTTTCTTTAAAATCCTCTGTATTTGAAAACATTTTTTATCTATGTGTCATCTCTCAAGGTCTTGAATTTTCCTTCATTTTTAAAATATATATTTTTTTAAATATTCTTTTATTTTTCCCTACTCTGGGCTACATCTGAGCAGAGTTTCCTAAAAGAGAGAAGATTCTGCCTTCAACTCCTCCACTTCTGAGGAAAGGCAAAAGCCCCGCCCCTCTCTCTCCTCAGTGGCTGCCTCTTGTCCTGGCCTGTCCCTCTCATCATGGCAATCCAGCAGCAGCCAATCAAACAAGAGGGGAAGAGACAATGGTTGCCTGGGAACTCAGCCACCAATCGGCCTCATGGAGAAGAGGTTGAACAAACAAAGATAAAAGAGGGAGAGTTTCAAATAAGGCTACAATTAAAAAGCTTTCAGTGTGAAGAGAAAGAGGCAAAAACTCCCAGAACTGCAGAGGGAGGGGAGGCTGAAGTCCTGAAAGGGTTTCCCCTCCCCCACCTAGAAATAGCTGCCCTCAGGGGTGAATTCTACTTACCATTACTACCGGTTCGCAACGCATGCGCAGATCGCTTCTGATGACGTCAGGGTCAGTGGGTGGAGCCTCCCACCGGTTTTACTTCCAGTTCAATAGAACCGGTCCAAACTGGGGACAACCCACCATTGGCTGCCCTGAAGAGATTCTCCTCCAGTGGAGGCTCTTGGGCAAGTAGGAGCAGCGGCTGCCCAGGAGAGCCCAGCCGGAGGGTCTTCAGGGGCCATGAGGGATCCCCAGGATTCCCCTTCCTCAGAGCCCCCGAGGGTCCCTCCAGGGAGACCCCCCTTGCCTTCTCCTCCTGAGCAATGCCGGATCCCCCTTTGGAGAAGAGAAGTCCTGCATGGCTTCCCCCAGACAGGACCCTTTCCTGGAAACACACAATGACAAACCAGAGCTTCAGAAGGACTTTCAATTTTCTTTCCCACTAAAGATCATGGCTGTCTTCCTTCAAATCAAGTGTGCCACCCTGGGGAAAATAAGAGCTGAATGGAAATGAAGCCGTGTTTTTACCTACTGGGGTCACCCACCATCAAAGAGAGACCCTCCTTTTCCATCTCCTTTCCCAAAATGTGAGCTTTCTTCAAGGGGTGGAAGCCTCTTCTTGACTCTTTTGCCCCATCACCAAGCCCCTCTTTGTGGTATAGAAGTGTTGGGGGGGGTCCTGCATCCTTCCAGATGTGGTTTGGTAACATCTTCCCCTCTGGCTGGAAGTCTCTCCTCCTTTGCTCTTGCCCCAACAGGACCCTGTAGTGCCTGGGCCTGATCCCCATTGCCTCCTGGAAGTGGTCACCATTTCAAAGCTGGGGGAGGCAAATTTGTCCATCTTCAAATTTGTACCCCATCCACAAATTAGGTGCTAAAACTAATCTCCCCACCTCTGCCCTCCAATCTCTAACAACCTTTTTAACAATTTGCTAAATATACTGTATGTCTGAGACAGAATAACAATAGCAGAGTTGAAGGGACCTTGGAGGTCTTCTAGTCTAACCCCCTGCTCAAGCAGGAAACCCTACCATTTACCATTTCAGACAAATTTGTTGTCCAGTCTCTTAAAAACTTCCAGTATTGGAACATCCATAACTTCTGGAGACAGAAATTAATCATTCCACTGATTAATTCTTCTAAGTGTCAGGAAATTTCTCCTTAGTTCTAGGTTGGATCAAAATCTGTAAGTTACTTTGACTGCGACGAGTCAAAGAATAGAGAAAAGCAAGGGAGCGAGTGTTGTTTGTTGTTTATGTTTATGTTTATTGGATTTATATACCGCCCTACTCCCGAAGGATTCAGGGCGGTGAACAGCTACAAAGTAAAACACATATATACAAAATTTAAAAGCAGAATAAAACTGAATAAAACAGTTTGGCCCCAGACAGATTTAAAACACCCCAGTAATTTAAAACAGATTAAAATTTACATTGTAAAAGGAAAAAGGGAAAAAGATTAGGCCAGGCCAGCTTGACGGAATAAAAAGGTCTTGAGAGCGCGGCGGAAGGTGCTCAGATCCAGGATCCTCCATATCTCCGGGGGGAGCTCGTTCCAGATAGTAGGTGCCCCCACAGAGAAGGCCCTCCCCCTAGGGGTCACCAGTCGACACTGTTTGGCCGACGGCATCTGGAGGAGCCCATCTCTATGAGAGCGTACCAGTCGGTGGGAGGCTATTGGTGGTAGCAGATGGTCCCGTAAGTAACCAGGTCCTAAGCCATGGAGCGCTCTAAAGGTGGTAACCAAAACCTTGAAGTGCACCCGGAAGACCACTGGCAGCCAGTGCAGTTCGCACAGGAGAGGTGTTACCTGGGAGCACCATGTCACTCCCATAACCACCCACGCGGCCGCACTCTGCCCCAGTTGGAGCCTCCGGGTGTTCCTCAAGAGGAGCCCCATGTAGAGAGCATTGCAATAGTCCAGGCGGGAAGTGACGAGGGTATGAGTGACTGTGTGTAAGGAGTCCCGATCCAGAAACGGACGCAACTGGCAAATCAGGCGAACCTGATGAAAAATCCTTGCGGCCACGGCCATCAAGTGCTCTTCTAAAGACAGCCATGAATCCAGGAGGACGCCCAAGTTGCGAGCTCTCTCCGTGGGGGCAAATGATTCACCCCCAATAGTCAGTGATGGCGTCAACTGACTATATCGGGACGTTGGAAACCACAGCCACTCAGTCTTGGATGGGTTGAGCCTGAGCCTGTTTCTCCCCATCCAGATCCGCATGGCCTCCAGGCACTGGGACATCACTTCAAGGGCATCGTTGGGGTTGTCCGGGGTGGAGATGTACAGCTAAGTGTCGTCAGCGTACTGGTGGTACTTCCCCCCGAAACCATGGATGATCTTGCCCAGCAGCTTTACATAAATGTGGAACAAAAGGGGCGAGAGGACCGATCCCTGCAGCACCCCACATATGAGGGGCCTCGGGGTCGACCTCTGCCCCGCTGCCAACACAGACTGCAACCGGTCAGAGAGAAAGGAGGAGAACCACCGCAATACAGTGTCCCCCACCCCTAACTCCTCCAACCGGTGAAGCATGATACCATGGTCGATGGTATCAAAAGCTGCCGAGAAGTCTAATAGGACCAGGACAGAGGAGCAACTCCTGTCCCGAGCCCTCCAGAGATCATCAACCAACACGACCAATGCCATTTCCGTGCTGTACCCAGGCCTGAAGCCAGACTGGAACGGATCCAGATACGTCGTTTCATCCAGGTGCTGGGGGAGCTGTCGCGCAACCACACTCTCGACAACCTTCACCACAAAGCGAAGGTTGGAGACTGGACGATAATTTGCCAACACTGTGGGTCCAGGGAAGGCTTCTTGAGGAGAGGCTGCACCACCGCCTCTTTCAAGGCGGCGGGAAAGTCACCCTCACTCAATGAAGCATTTATAATCCCCTGGAGCTAGCCTCGCGTCACCTCTCAGGAAGCCAGCACTAACCAGGAGGGACATGGATCCAACAAACGTGGTCGTGTTCAGTCTACCCAGAATCCTGTCCACGCCATCAGGAGTCACAGGATCAAACTCATCCCAAATAACATTCTCAAGACCTGCCTCAGTCATCCCCCCTGAAACTACCCAGTCGGAGTCCAGGTCTTCCCGAATCTGAGTGATTTTGTCATGCAGATACTGAACAAAGTCCTCGGCCCAACCCTCCAAGGGGCCCTCCCGTGCTTCCTGGTGGAGCAGGGAGCGGGTCACCCTAAACAGGGTGGCCAGGTGGTTATCTGATGATGCAATACGAGCAGCAATATAAGTACATTTTGCTGCTTTTATCACCACTAAGTAATTCTTAATATGAGATCTTACCAGTGTCTAGTCGGATTCAGAAAGACTGGCCCTCCAACTACTCTCTAGGCATCTTTTCTGGCGCTTCAACTCCCTCAGCTTCTCAATAAACCAAGGAGCCAAATGAAATCGGCGCCGGGTCAGAGGCCGCAAAGGAACGACCCAATCCAGAGCTCCAGCAGCCGCCCTATCCCAGGTGGCCACTAGGTCTCCAATCGAGGCGTGTGCTAGAGCCTCAGGAAATGGCCCAAGCTCCATCTGGAACCTGTCAGGTTCCATCAGGCGCCTGGGGGGGAAGCATCTTACCGGCTCCGGCTCCCTGCGATGGGGTGCAGCAGTTCGAAAGTCGAGATGAAGGAGAGAGTGATCCGACCATGACAAGGGCTCAGTCACTATATCCCCTATCTCAAGATCACTCAAACACTGTCCGGAGACAAAAACCAAGTCCAGTGTGTTTCCCCCCATGTGCGTAGGGCCATGAATAAGCTGGGTCAGGTCCATGGCCATCATGGAAGCAATGAACTCCCAAATCACCTCAGACACCTCACCCATGGACGGCAGGTTAAAATCCCCCATGACCATAAGTCTGGGAGTATCAACCGCCACTGCGGTTGGAAGAAATGTCCATCTGGGTTCAGTTCAAAATGGGGAGA